CAAATAGTTGATATACAGTTCCATGAATGTCTAAGAACATGCCCCTAACCCTAAGTGTCTTTAACAAAAGTCGATTTTTAATTTCAATAGCCAGTCAAATGTTTAGTTCTGCTCATTGTTTTCTCTCCAAATGCAAGTTTTAACACACTGTAAGATTCTGTAAAAGTTTTCACAAATTTTAAACACAACTCTATACACATGCATTGTTCTTCAATTCTATGATTTTTTGAAAAGCCTAAGTGCAGGTATATCACTATAGAAACCAGACTTCATGTCACTTTCACTAGTAATTAACATTAATAATATATGGAAAAATTTGCATAAATGTTGCATACTTTAATCATTACACAACATTACTGTGTTATCACCCACAACGCTTCACAAATTCCTTCACCACCAATGACATGGTTCCACATGAAATAATCCACCTCATTTCACAGGAATTTAGCATGAACTGTGAACCTTTTAACTAACTAAATAGATGGCTTACCGAACACGAATGTTCATCACCAAATTGACCAAAGCCCTCCACAGGACACCGTCCTGGGCCAACAAAATCCAGTCTCCTTCAACTGCTATCTACCATAGATCCCACCTGACAGTATCCTCCCATCTACAACTAGGTCTCCCCAGCGGTCTCTTCCCCTCAGGCTTCCCAACCAATACCTGGTGCACACCTCTTGTCCCATCCATGCATGCTACATGACCCGCCCATCTCATTCTTCTTGACTTTTTTACCTGCACAAAATGTGAATCATAATGTTGCCAACAATAAGTCTATGACAGTAATAAGGATCCACAATTCAGAACCAGTGCGGATAATTTAGCAATAATGTTTGAATGTTCTTACAATTTACTTTCTCGCATTTCTTGAAGTTCTTGTAACATTTCTGCAAGCTTCCTCTGTCTTGGTGTAAATCCTGATCTTTCTCCTGCAGACAGAAATACAATTTTTACATTTATTATGAAATACAGACGATGAAAAACATCAAGTTAATAAAGTGAAATGGGTTCCTCTGGCACATATTTGTAACCATATTAAATTAAATAAAATGTTTGCTGTGCATCACTCTTGCTTGTCCATTACCATTTATGTTCTCCAAAATCTTTTACTCTTTCTCTCGCTAACTACCACCAGCAGTTTCTTGTTACCATTTAGTAATCATTTACACAAGTATGATATATACTTTCAAACTGAATATCAAAAATTAAATCTCAGTGAGAGGACTTAAGGGTTAAAAGCAATGAAAATTAGTTTTGAGTTTTCAATATTATTTAAATTATACTCAATAAATATCATGAAAATTGTGAATTTCTCTTTCCACATTGTGATTCTGTGGTTCTCGTGTTGGTATTACTAGGTTGTATTAATGATGCAGCAAAAAAACAAAATTCTGATGGCACAATTTTCACATAAAATTTCTTAAACAGCATACAGTTAATTTATGAAGGCCTGAGAAATGCAAACCTCCCCTCCACAAGTCTGTTTTCATTCTAAGAATTAGGAATCATAATTACAAAAACCAACACTTGTTGGAGATGGATTAAAACTCCATAGCATATAATTAAAATTTCAAATACTGCAGCACTACAGAACACATGGCTCTTATCAACTAAACACAAATTACCTTCTGAAGCATGAGCCCCCTGATTCATCATCAGCTGATTCATGCTGCGATTCAGTTCTTCCACTGAAATAAAATCAATTGCACACTACATATTTTCTCCACCTGGAAAGACAACTGTAGTTCCCTTTAGATCTGCTTATCTTTCTTGATAAAATTTTCATGTTTCATTCAACACGATCTTAATTAGATTTAATGTGGCTCACTGGTTCTGAGTTCAACTCTAGGTTCATCTAAAGCAGTGGTATTCAACCTGGGGTACGCGAAGACATCTTAGGGGGTATGTGAAATTTAAAAAATATATATATATATTATTTTATGATAAACACTGAATAATGAGTAATGTAATTTATTTTAGATGTAGATTATATACTATGTATAACTTTAATTATATACCAACAACTTTGGGGGCACAAAGTTGAAGAGAAATTATATCTGGGGATACACGAACAAATAATGTTGAATACCACTGATCTAAAGGAGCATAATGAAATGTTTCTGAACACATGACAAAAGTCAAATGCATTTAAAAACCACAAAATATTGTTCAATGGCACACACATACACACTATTGACATAGAAGAACCTATCAATCATCATTGTAAATGTTACTTCATGAACTAAATATCCTAAATAAATTAGCATAAGGCAATAGACAACAATAACTGAAGTGGTTACTATCCTCATAATTTCTGCTGTCTTCATGAATTTAATTTTAAGCATGCATAACATTTGTGTATTTTTCAACTAGTACAATCTTACTTTTAACTTTATACAGATCTCTTTCCTGCACAGTTGCATGAAGCTCGGCTGTCTGTTTGGTCATGTTCTGCTCTAGGAGCTGCATCATGCGATTTACCAGATCTCCTGTATGAATAACACCTGTACATTAGTGTTACTTGTCTCATTCAGAGTGGAGAACAGATTGAGGGTATCTGAGAACAAAGTGCTGATTTTTTTTGGACCTAGGAGACGGGCAGTAACAAGATGATGAAAAAAGTACATTATGTGAATCTTCAAAATTTATACTCTTCACTTTTATTGTTGTGGTGATTAAATCACCGTTGAGACACATGATACATGCAAGGGAAATGAGAAATGTATATAAGCATGATCAGAAAAGAAACCACATGTTCAGAGACCTTGGAGTAGATGAGAGGATAATGTTAAACTGGATCTCGGTGCAACGGTATGACATGGACTGCATTCAAATTGTTGAGGATAGGGTGCAGTGACAGGTTTGTTGTAAATCAGTGACTGTTCAGGTTCCATAAAATAGATTTCTTGATCAAATTAGCAACTGACTTTTTGCTGTATTTAGAATATTATTTACTTTTATAACCTACACATTATGTTAACCTGCTTTGGGATATTCTTTCATTTCAAGTTTTGCATGTTAGAACTCATGACCCTTCATACTTCTAGCACAGTGTTTTTAAACAGTTTTCATATTATGTCAGTGTTGGTCTTCCGGGTTGTAATGCTGTGTGAGCTTGTAGGAAGAGACCAACATTACTAAGGGCACTGCCTCTATCTTTAGGATTGAAGAGAGGATTTTAGGAAGTGGATAGCTTATATAGTTTACAGAAAGGGATAAAATCTCAATTTTCATACTACTCACTCTCGGATGCACTTGCAGAAGTAGAATTCTCAGTCAAGACATTTTGCATAATTTGACGTATACGTTCCTCTTCCTCTGAAATGTGAAAAGAATTGTATTTACATGTTACCCATTGATCTGAGGTTGAAACCCCATTACATAAATTTAGTCGAGCACCTTGTGTCACTTCACCAACATTCCTCTACTGGTGAAGAGGCATGTTTAACCTTCCTGTCTGTCACTCCCTGCCTTAGCCATTAATACCAAACATCCTATCAGTCCTACAGACTTAGAATTGTATAACCTGTACTCCAGACCAGACAAGTACCATATCGGAGATTAAGCCCCTAACTTATGGCTGAGGTTTGGTAATATACTGCCCAGCAATGGCACACCTCACATCACAGGGATAGATGGAACAGTATCAAAATGATGATTAACTGGAGAAACTGAGGATCTCGAGAAACACCTTCTCCATTGCCACTTCATTCATCATATATCATAGCTGAATTCACATGCAGCTGAAGTGGGCCTTTGCAGTAACAAACCACCATCTTGCCACCTGACCTATGGCACAGATCATAAGTTCAGTATTCATACAAAATTTTGACAGTGGATTTTTAAGATGAGTAAGTTTGGGGAAATTTCATTTTGCAGAATTTGGAAATTATGTACTTTTATTTTCCATTTCTAGAACATAATTATGAAAATGAAGATGTGCAATCTAAGGAATTCAGAAAGAAATGATCTTTCTGTGGTGGACACAACAGAACTCATCTTCGTCTAATTCTGAGATCTGTAATAATTACAGTTTTATTTAAATGCCTCCAAATAGTGCCTATGCACAAAGCATTTTCATAAATACATAGATCTTCAACTCATATATCTCACCTTGTGACTTCCCTGATCTGTTCATGGCAGCAACGATCTCCTTTATGATATTCATTCCCATCCAAATCGAGTTATCCATGTCTGGAATAAAAATTACAGTCCTAGACATGACATTCAGAGCCGCTGTTCCCAGTATTCAAAATTAATAGATTTAATAGTGGTGTTTTTGCATATGCAATTAAAGCAGTGAGATCAGACATCACAGATGAGTGGTTAGCACTTCTGCTTTGTCCTAACATAGCTACCTTCAGTCCGTCTATGCAAATGGAAGGATAGTAAGTTAAATTAGGCCATATCTATCAGGACACACAGTTCAAGACAGCTAACGAAGACCAATCAATGATGTTCTGGGTTTTGGCATCAAGTGGATTCACTGCCAACATTTTGGAGAAACATTGACATCTACTTGTTAGTCTACATGGTGCCAAAACCAAGATCATCCTCACTACTGTGAATACCGTAAGGCTCACATCTTAGCCTAGTTCACATAAATATTCCCTAATTTTCAATTTCTTCTAAACCGCTGTAAAACCTTCATTCAGCTGTTTAATAATACTGAGAAAATTCTTTAGTGATACCACCACCATAAGGCATGTACCCACAAGTCACACCCGCATTAATAAGTTCCGTTCCACTATAATTACAATAAAAATTCTGCTTTTGTGTCCACTTGTCGGTTTCAAGCACCCGTTACTTTGGAGAAATGAACACTAATGTGTAGGAGGCTGCACTGTACAGCAACACTGACTACACTGCCATTACCCTAAAAGACATTTTGTGATGAACGGCAAAAAAGCCTGATATCTTAAAAGCTATCAATTCCTTACACCTACTAACAGAAAAAAGTCCGAGGAAGATACCACCAACGAATTTCTTTCTTGCGCTTATTTCGAAGATCAATGGGAAGAATCTAGGATTCCCCTTTTCAACTCGCCACGTCTCGATTTCGCTTTTGTAACTCAAATGTTTTAATCACGTGACTGACCTTGACAACTTGGTGTTGCCTACCATCAAGGACAAGGAAATGTAAAGGTTGCAGAATTTCAGAATGTAGAAATTTCACTTAGTAATGTACGGACGTATTTGTCTAGTTGCTCTCTGTTACGACCCATCTGCCCAAGCATTTACCTTTCATTTACGTTTCATACATGTGACCACTTGTGCTGCTTGTAAACTTGGCAACTGAAGGAGTGGAAGACGCTGACTGCACGAGTACATTGCCGACAAAAGATAAGGTTGAAATCAATACCACATTAGCAAGTTTCGTCGCATTTTCTTCTTTATTTTAAATGTGCGTTTATATAATTAATTCGCTCCAGTCTTTTTAACAGCTGCAACCGCCTGCCACAGCAAGTGAAGGGACCCATGCAAAAAGGACTTGGTTCCTCTTTAACAAACTTTTTAATAACTAAAATCATGTTGAAATTTTAAATTCTTGCTTGAAACTACAACACGGTGTCACTCCATTTTTACAGCAGCAGTGTACCAAACTGATTATCACCAATGCATGCAGTTTTTTATGTATGACATAATGTAAAATTTATTTTGGCTGGAACTGGGGCCACACCGTTTTTTCACAGGTTCCAGTGAGAATTGTATCTTATGGAAGTAGATTATGAGGGTGAAGGTGAATGGAACAGCAGAGGACAATGTAAAATAGGGAGGGGTTTTAGGAACTCTTTCATCATACAGTTAGTTATTACAATTGTTGTTGCTACTGCCGCTGCTGCTACTGGGCAAACAAAGTCCCATTGCACACTTACATATCAAACACACTTGATAAGCTTCGTATGAATCATTTGTTCAGTTGGTTTTTCAGAACGTTAGCTAGGGTCTTGTGAGGCTTGAGCAGAAATTGGTATAGAAGGGAATGAAATATAAATTTCTTTGATTTTAAAGAATAGAATAGAAGGGGGTAGATATAAGATGGCATTAATGTATTAGCAGATGGTATGCAATACATTACCAGAATGTTGTACGTATTTCAAAGCATTATGGAGTCACATAAATGTCTTCCAATAATGACATTTGCATAATTGTTTTAATACAAATTCAGATTTGTTGTTTAATGCCTACAAGGTGGGGTCAAACAATAGAAGTTGCATTTTCTAGCAAAGTACATGAAAGTACCTTTCGTGTTTCTTTTAGTATGAACGAGAAATCTAATTTTAGACACGTTATACAATAATAGAATTTGACATATCCCTTTATCTATGGGGAATGCTCTCTAGTGGTGTTTCGTCTGTGGTATTTAAGTATGTAATCCGTGATGTTTATTCTATGTTGGTATCACAGGTTGTACAACCAACATAGGCCTTTCTGAACCAAATAAATATTTACGATTTCTAGGGGAATTCAATATCTGAAAGACGTTTCTGTTCACAGTTTGCGTATACATTCAAATTGAGTGTAGGAGTTTGTTTAAAGGTGAGTATTGAAAGTGAATGTTGTAGCTTGTGAAGTTGGCGTTCACATAATTGTAACATGAATATATTGGTTCATTGTCGAGAAATTCTTTTAGGTTATTTGTAATAGACTAGGTGTAGAGTATGAGGATGAAACAAATGAAGTAGACACAACTAAATTTCTTGGCCTACAGATTTACAGTAACTTAATTGGAAAACACATTCCATACATTGTGCTTCATCATTTCATATGGAATTATTCTCTGGGTAAACTCAACAGACACTCACACAAAAAAAGATTTTACATTTGAAAGAAAATTATCAGAATAATGGCAGACACTAAAAGGAGAGCCTCATTTAGAAAATTTTATAAGAAATCTAATATTTTTCCTCTCATTTTTATCATTTGTAGTGGACAACTATAAATACAAGATACAGACATAATCTTCATATGCTAAACTCTGAAATCAGTCAGTATCAAAAAGGAGTTTTAATTTATTCCATTTGAACTAATGAATTTCACTTCTAATTTGTTCTTCTATAGGCATATGTTTCAAGGTTTTCATTTCACTGTGCTGTTTTTTCCTTCAAAATTGGAAAATACAGATTCTCCATAGAGAACAAAAAATGTATGTTTTCATAATAAAACTCGTGAAACATTTTGTCATGCCGGTTGCTTTACCAATGGGTTGTGTAAAGGTATAATTCAATTTAACGAGCCCCTTTTCATCCTCAATGTGGTTTCCAACAACATTCACTATTTCACATTTTCCTGTCCTCGTAAGCAGTGAGTCCAAGGCACACTTGCTTGTGTGAGCTCAATAGTGGCATTAAATATCTGCAGACATGGAAAAATGTGCTGCCATGCAGACTTTTGTGTGCTTTTGGTTAAACTGCAGTAGTCATTTTATTATCAGCCAGAATTCAACACATGAACACATTGATGATGTTAGTTTCATTACTGTACATTAGATCAATATGTGAAGAAGGAATCTCCAGTGTCCTGTACCATGTATGTGTACTGCAGGCTCCTTCCTTTGATGTAAAGCATCCAGAGAATGATGCTGAACACTTACCTGTAATGTTAAAAATGTGTGGACCTTTATTTGCACTCCCCCGTACATCTCTATAGAATGCTTAAGCACATTGACAACTTACTTTTTCTCCATTTCATGTCCACTACATGACTTAGGAAATGAATTTTGAAAATCCCTTCTCCCTTGCTTATTCCAATTTATCACACCAGTTTATTATTACATTTGCAGATCATATCATACCTTTCTGAAAGTGATTATTTTACTGTACAACACCATAGGATCTGGTTCAAAGTTTTGGATACCATACATGATTTATCTAGAATCAGATTCACTTTTGCTTTTCCGCACTGTTGCAGGCACAAAATGGCGCTTCCAGCCAACTACAAAGCAATAGCAGCAGCATCTCCAGTTCCTGCAGTAGGCAATCGTGAGTTATCATCTTTTTTATACTGCCGTTGTTTTACAAGCACTTTAATGTTTTCATGTCAGTTAATAAATGTATTAATCCTTAATAACATACGACTTATGTATTAGCAGCTTCCAATTAAGGCTATAGTATGAAAAGGGGCTGTATATATGAATAGCTCGTATCTTCAGGAATCATGAAACAGATCTTCTCTTCTTCCTAGCATGTTTCCAGATTATGTGGAAGGAAGTAATTTATTTAATGAAATGATGAGTTGTCTCATAGCATTACTAATTTGTTGAACTTTGTAAAGTGTGAAGTCTTTTCTGACAGTGAATTTCACAAATATTATAACTTATTGTTAAATGTTTTTCCTATATTCTCTGGTCTGAGATGTATGATACCACTTCTTAACAGTTTATAAATACCCAGTTATAGAAATCTCCAGAAATACTAAAGAAAAATTTATAGCCTAAAGTATATATGTATAATTAATAATTGTTATAAATGCATCTGAAGAAACAGTTGTTTTATTTCAGTACCATAAGTTGGAGTCTGTATTTTGTAGTTCTCAACTTGTGTTTGTTTACTTTCTGTGCTTTTACATTGTGACTTGGAATTAAAAAATCATTAGCTTTGTTGTATTCAGATGTGTTGAAGTTTGACTATTCTACATGTCATTAATATCCTGTTTATATCAGATCTTTTGTGTGCTTAGTTTTTACTTGCACTAAAGTTAGACTTATTTTATATAACTGTTGTCTGTGATTGTGAGGACATACACAAGTTTACTGTAAAGTTGTACATTTAAATAAATATGTAATGTGGTAGTCTGTAGTAAAAGTTACTATGCTGCTACCAATTTCCATGTATGTGTCATTAAAGATTATTGTTTTAAGATGTAATTGATATGTAATTAACATAATGGTATTAATAGCAAAAACCAAGATTAAATGTAAGTATAATTCAGTAGTCACATTGTACACCTTTTTTTACGTGTTGGATTTTTTCATCCACATCACTAGCTGGTATGTATATTTTTATTCTGAGCATGCCCTTATTGCAATCATTATTGTTTAACCTTGGATTAGCTTTAGCTCAGCTTATTTACATTACTTTACTCTTGTAGTGTTAGTGGCATGTAATATTCTTTAGGTATTTATACTGAAACATGTTTCACTTAGAAATTTCAGTGTTTAGCATGTGATATTTTCAAGCAACCCTCATCATGACATGGTGCTTTAGAATTGTCTTGTTTAAAATTAGTTGTATTGTTAGCTTCATCCTGATGCCAGTGAATTGAACTGCAGAAGTTTGTGCTGCCGGGTAAATCAGGTTTCTTCATAGATCTAAACTAGACCTCAGAAGTACAGGTACTGTCAGTTTGCTGAGTGGTGTCCTGGAGAAGAAACTGTTCCTCAGACCTGTTAAATTTGATCCACAACAGAATGTCAGTAACAAGTTTTGAAATTAGGAGTCATTATGTTTATGATGTTCAGAGTATGGAAACCAATTTATCTTTATCCTCTGGTATTTTATTTTACAGGTGTTTGATTTAAATCTAAGCAAGCATTAACAGTCCAAAAGTTTGTCATGCCATTTCTGAGTTCTTACAAGCAGTTACAGACTACTGCTCTTTACTGTCTTATCCCTTCTAACTATTCTTTTTCATCCTTACACGTCATATATTGCACTAAAGAAAGTAGCATTCAGTCCATTAATAAAGTCTATCACATTTCTTATTTTCTTTGAGCTTATATTTATTCCAGAATAAATAACTATTCTTAATATGTTTTGACTATAAAATGTAAGAAGTTGTCTTAAGTTTGGAATTACCATTTCTGAATTATCAGCCTCGTATCTTTATAAAAAGCTTATGTTCATGATTAAAACTGATAGAATAATAGTGATGGAGTTCTGTCATATTTGTGCTGAGAGTGCATTATAATTCTACTCGTTTAATGAAATTTGTGTTTTACTTAGGGCACCAACTGAAATAAAATTCTTTACCAGTACTAAAGGTCTTTATATTAGCATCAAATTCTTTTATTAGTTTAAATATTTCTAAATTGTTCTAGTACATATTTATATTCAGCCTTTATTTTCATTACAAATTTCCATACTTTAGTGTGAGTTATAGTGGCAAGTCTTGTTTTCTGCCTTACATGGAGCTGTGTCATTTTCCTCAGATACAGCTCGTTACTAAAATATGAATCTTATTAAAATCCACCATTTAAATTAAAATATTTTTCAGTGTAGAGATAAATTTGATCTGATATCTGTACTGTGATGGCTTTTGCAGTAATATATCTATATCCATGATAAATGACCATCAAGTCTGATGAGATATGAAAAATTGCAAATCATACTTTTTGAAAAAAATATAGGTATTTATTACACCTGAGATTATGAGCAAAGACAAGTTCCTAGTGCCTTTGACACTACAACCCTCATAGCAGCCTGCTAGTACCCTGAGGTCTAGTAAGGACACAAATATGAAATGTTTCCATGTGAAGCTTTCTATTGCAGTGATGTGGATGAAGCTTTCCTGCATTTCTCGGTCTGACTCACATGCAGGAGAATTGTGGCAGTGCTGCCACTGGGAGTCTTGTCTTCTTGAGCCTAATAGAGGTCCAGAATCAGCATGTGACATGTTCAGTTTCTGCTACTTTCATATGTAGTCAGCCACAGTTTGTTATTTTAGACTAATACTTTGGATTCTCAACAGTTCGTACTTTGGAGTTTATTTCATTTGTAATAAATGCACACAGCTTGTAAACAAATTTTATGGGGAAAAATAATTTAATATAAATGGATAGATATATTGAGGTTTGCAAGTAATTTTGAACTAATATTACTACAACTCGCTTGGATTATTGGAGCTCTTATTATAACTTTGGCTTGGTTGCAGTATGTATGGGTTCACAGTGGCTGTGCGGTCTGAGGCGTGGGCCTTGTGCCGCTTGGTCGCTGGGACTGTGGGTTCGAATCCCACTGAAGCCATGGATGTTTGTCCACATTTTTCTGTGTTGTGCTGTCCTGTGTACAGGTAGAGGCCTTGCGACGGGCCGATCCCTCGTCCAAGGAGTCCTACCAAGTGTCTATAGATCAAGCCAACGAAAAGTTGGGACCCGCAGTGCTCAGGCACTTGAAGAAAAAATTAATTTAAGTTGTATATAATGTAAATTAAATAAATGGTACTATGATTGAAGCTATGCAAATATGCTTTTATTTGCTGAAGACATACAGATTAAACTGCAATTCTTTGTAAAAACACGCCACACTGTACATTACCAGTAACAGTGATCAGAATAGGATAAATAAAATTGGCTAACAATTAATTGATGTTACAGTCTAACATTCTTCCTTTTGTGACCAGCATGAATAGCTTAGTTATCACAAAACATACAGTCTTCAGTGTAATATTAAAATAAAAGAAAAAGTCTCCAGTGTATAATTACTGAGGTATGGGCATATACTTTGTTTAAAAAGTACTGTTTTCATTGTTCTTTGAAATTCCAACTAGTGGGTTGTAGTTATTTACACAAACAAACAAACTGGAACTCTACTATTTCATTAACCGGTTTATTTGTGTCTGGTTCATGCTTAAAATGCTTGGTTTCGTACTTCTGATACAGGAGTGAGTGAGTTCCAAAAAACTATCATGAGGGGGGAAGTAAGAAACTAGCTAATTCTTTCAGTATAATTTCAGAAATTTCCATGCTTTAGCATGCCATGCCAGATGTGTATGAATTCCATGAACTTGGCATTAAAATGCATTCCATAGACCATAGGGATTATTTTTCCCTGACTAGCAGTTACTTTTCCTGTTGTTAGTTACTATAGTATGGATTATTTGTTAAAGCTAGACGTTGAGAATCCACTGAAAACTTTATAACTTGTTAAATGAGCAGTATTGATAATTTATTAGCTTGTGCATCTGGCATAGATACTCTGTACAATTTACATTAATTGTAGTATTATTTTTGGTTTGTTGAAGTGCATCTATTAACATTTGTCCTTATTTATGCCCATTGAATGCTTTCCTTTGATGTAGATCAGTTTGTTATGAAATGCTTTTTTTGTATTTCTTATTTAGATTTGCTGTCAACTGGTGCCCCTATGACTTTCAACATTTTGAAAGGTAAGATGTCGAACTTGGCACAAACTATTAGACACAAAAACATTTTATAATAAATAAAATATATTCTGACTAAAGCTGTTTTAGAGGCTTAGCAGTTTCTGAAGAGTGCTCATTCATTCTTGTGTTATAGAAGTGTGTTAGAGATAATATAGCAATGCAGTTGGTACTTGTTCATCTAGAGTAAAATCCTTCCTCAAAATAAATGCAGGTGTAATATTTGAAGTCTGACAGATAATGAGAATCAAGTTTTGTGCAGCAGTTTCTAACACTTGTGAGCATTTGTGGCATCACATTCATTGAAACAGGCCAAATATTTTCATAATAACATTACACCTGATACAGTACTTTGGTAAAGCAATTTTTCACCAGTATTTGAACGTCCAATCAACTTGCACAATTTTGACCTGCATATCCCATTCATATTCCCAGAATTAAACATGTTCTTGAAAGATTAATGCTGAAGATATTCAGAACAATATGACAGTAGTACTGAAGGTATTTTAGAACATGATTTCCATCTGTGTTTCATGACATCTCTGGGACGGATTGCATGTATAAAGTTAGGAATACTTTGAAATTGATTGCATTCAATAAAAGTTAATAACAGTATATGTTCATTTTTATAGTCCAGTAATTTAATTGTCAGACCTTGTATGATTTGAATTTGAGAGGCAAAATTGATAGGCCAGTTTTTTATCGGTGTTCAATATCTCTCTCTTTCTATCTATCTATCTATCTATCTCTATCATTCAGTCATCATTCTCTCCATGTTTACACATCACTGATTTTATTTGTGCCATGTACAATCAGTAACTGATATTATCTGTATGTACTAAAACCTATCAGATGCTAACTTAGTAATAAGAAATCTACCTGATTTAAAATGGGGGAAAGGGGAAAAAAAAAACTTTTAGTAAATTTCCACTCTTCAACACAAACTGAAAATGTAATACAAGAATCTAATAGAAAATAATTTATGTGAATGGTTTATTCTTATATTTACTCTTTGAGTTTATCAAAGT